TTTTTCTTTTGGGTTAGTTGGTTTACTATTATTTTGTTTAGTGTTATTTATTACTAGTGCACAGACTTCTACAAAGGAAAATGTGGGTCAAGTAACGTTACATATGGCCAGTTACCAATGAAATAATGATCTTAAAAAAATAAAAAATAGTACTAACATAGAAAACGTGTTTAGTTCATGGAACTATGGAATGGAAGGGATAAATAAAAGTTGTGATAAGAAGTGAAACAGCGATGCAGATGAGTCGCCCTCCACAAGCTACATCATTTTTCTGACACTGAAAATATTAATTAAATTAAAGAAGCTGTATTTGCGAATAAATGAAAGCATGTGATATGGAAAGACAGTAGTATTAATATTGGGACTTGCGAAGAAGATCTTTCCCCCGAGTCGGCAGGTGAATTCTGTTAAGATATGTAGATAATTATAATATGACACGAATAAATTTTTTTACTTCACGACCAAACTTACCATTTTACTGTATATGTATTTTTTAAATTGAAATATTACACTATACATAACATAACTGAATAGATATTTATACTTTTGGTAACGCCATTCTAAAAAATAACACAAACAAGTATATTTTCCAATTGAAATGTCACACTCTAGAAAACAATATAAACAAAAATATGGTATTTTACATAATAAGTATGCATATGTAATCACACCTCACAATAATGTGTACCATCAAATATAAATGAGTTAACACACACTAACATTTACCATTATTTTTATAAATGAGGTAATACTATTAAATTGCACTTGGGTAAGGTGTTATGTGTTTCTTTTTCTTCTTCTATGAATTCAAGTTTCCACATTGAACGTAATTGCTTCAAGTTGCTCTTTTTGATAGTGACGAGTCTTAAACGAGAGTGGCCAATAATTTGAGTTGAACAGCTTTTGCCAATAGATTATCTTGCAAAATAATAATTGGACTCTCAGGTCAGACGACAAATTCAATAGATTATATCGTGAAAGAAAAGCAAACATAATTTTTAAGATAGATCAATAGAAGACAATCTTGGGTAATTGGGTTTAACTAGCTAGACCTGTAGCCTAGCAAGAAAGAAACTACTCAAATGTTGTCTTTAATGCATTCATAAATGCTGCTGGTTTAGTCATGCTAATTGTTAACCTTTTATAGTTTTTTTTTTTTTACATATATTTGTATATTTATAATAATAAAAATGTAATTTATAATATACAATGTTGTGTTTGTTTATTTTATTTTTTTACATTATGACAATTTTAAGACCTTTTTAGATTGGAGACTTTTTAAAATTTTCATATTTTTGAGGAATCTTGTAAAATCTTAAGTTTGGAGGTCTGATTTTGAGTGAAATTTCGTATAACGTTTTATCTTTAAAAATCCAAGCAAAAATCGTAAAATATCTTAACTTTTATTACATATTTACATTATTAGCAAAATAATATTCAAATTATATATTTTTAAGTTCTCTGGTTTTTTTTTAAAAAAATAAAATTTATTAAAATTTTGCATAAATAAAACTTATATCGATAATTTTCTCATTTAAGTTAACTGTTAAATATAGTTAATATTTTTTACATAAATATGTAAATATATATTATAAAAAATAATATTATAATTCGCATATTTATTTCAAAAAATAAACTTAGTTGAGCCTTACATTGGGAAGTTATATGAAAAAAAAAAAATGAATCTTAAATTGAGAACAAGCTAAAATGCATGACTTTATTGAGAAAAACAAAATTTAAACTTTAAATTGATATAATTTAAAAAAGTTGAATCTGAAATTATCCCTTTTTATATTAAATATAAATATATGAGTCAATATCATGATTACGATGGTTATCAAATGAGACACTAATTGGTAGCGTTTCAACCGTTCTGATGGTGTATGTGATTAATTTATTAAATACTTTATATCCAAAACTTTCAGTTGGTCAAAGTTAATGATTTTACTCATATGTTTTCTTTAAAATAAATACATACACGCTTTCTTTCTATATATATACCTGTGTCAAGTTTCAACAGCACTAGTATTCGACCTGTGCATTTGCATATATATAAATAAATTATTGTGAGTCTGTATGCATATAATAATTTATTATTTTTTTCACTTTTTTGCAGACCAAATTTACAATTAAAAGAGTTGGAATATTTTTTTTTTTTAAATTGTGTTATCTAATTTGTTGTAATGTATATTTTGGTACGTCTTTTATTTGTGAATTATTTATTATTTATTTAGAAATTTCAAATATATTTTTTATTTTAAAAAAAAAAAATTAAATGTAACAACAATAATAACATCTAATCACATTATACGGTCAACACATTATATGGTCAACGGTCATTAATCAAGTTTAAAATGATTTTTGTAATTTTGAAGTGATGAGTATTAATTATTTAATGATTAAATGAAAGATTAAATACATCAAAATGTAACGGTTTTTAGAGGAAAAATTGTTAAATTGTCACATAGATAAAATTAAATAGGTTTTATTAAATGCTATTAGCTAGTAATTATATATATATATAGATGCATCATAGAGTAAATGGTTTCTTAAAATAGTCACATGAATGCCTAAGAGCATCTTCAATGGTATATTGTTTATTTGGAGATGTATAACATGCTAAAAGAAAATTACAAAATTGTCTTCAATGGTGAATATATAATCTAGTATAAAGTGATATGTGTATCACTATAAATTGTTGGACATAGGAGATATATTTAATAAATAATATGATATATGAAACAGGATGTTTAGAAGTACTTCTTTGTCTAGAAAAACTTCTAGACATTTTTAATGACACATAGGATTTACTAAGCCACATGGCGATAAAAAAAGAACAATCCATAGACCATTAGAGATGCCCTAAACTAGAATTATATACATGAAATTTATGAAAATTAAAACAATGTACTTACATAATATGAAAATATAAAATATTGTTTATAGATAAATTAAATATAATATAATGCATACAAAATTATATATATAACACGAGATAAATAGTTGTAGTATTTTTCGATTTTTCATTATCGTAAATTATAACATTGGTATATATTGGACAATATCTTGCATAATTATTAATTATGTAATTCATCTGGATATGTTATTTTTATATCGCATATCATTTCGTGAGTTTTAAGATGAAAATAATGTTTTTTTGTGAGAACCGCTATTTTTAATTGTATGTAGTGCTATGATTAATTGTGTTTTAGTGCTATTTTTAACTAGGATGTATTTGATTAAAAATAGCAACAAAATTTTTATTAGCATTTATGAAAATGATAGCACCATGTAATATTAAAAATAGCATCATACACAATTAAAAATAGCATCAAATATGGTTCTCACGGTTCTCACACCAGACATAGTTTTTATTTGAACCAGCCTCTATATATATATAAACTGGAGTATAAAAGAAACAAAAATTCCCTCCTTAGGAAATCTTTATAGATATGAAAACCAGATGATCTTCTCAAACTAGCTAAAAATCTATTTATTTTTTATACAGGTGACATTACCCTTTATGAGACTTTGAAAACGTTTTGAATTGTTTGTAAGAATGCTATGATTGCCTTTTCTTTAAAGTCAGCCGCAACCTACTATTTTGGATATGTATCTAATCGGACAATTTTGGTATAAAATTATAAATCAATTTTATTTTATTTTATTATTATTATTTTTTTTAAGGTACAAGCAAGGAGGCTACGCAAGCCTAGATAAGAACAGTTCGAGGATACGACACTCCAATCCTATCATAGCATAAATCAATTTAATTGTTCTGATGATGCTAAAACTTTTTAGCCCTTAAATGAGGGGAACATCAATGACCATGCTTTAATGAGATAATCTACACATCTACGTATTAGTACGAATAGAATGAAATTTACAACTAGGTAAAAATTGTTGCCTGCTTTGTTTATTAGAGGATTTATGATAAATTGGCATATTGGGCCAGGTTTAACCAATCAAATTCACTGATTCACTTATTTGATAACATGCTTAATTATTTGATTTTTTTTTTTTTTTGACCGAAAATGCTAATTGTAAAAAAGCTCAAAAGAGCCGTATTTAAAAAGAAAAGAAAATATACAACATAAGAACTATAGATTATCGATGTTTACCAAACATTCATTTGGTAAACTGCTAATTGAATTCGCTAGTCAAATCAATTAATACAATTATCACTAAAAAAAGTTACTCTCTCCTATTTTTATTATTTGTCATTCTAGCTTAATTGATCATTTGTTAAATAAATGTCGTTTTGACTATTTTGTACATATTTTTCCCAAAACATCGATCTCTATTCTCATTAATGAGGGTTATTATTGACAAAAAAAATATTCTTAATTATTGTGCAACTTCACAAAACGACATTTATTAAAAATAGGAGGGAGTATCATATTCTAACGTAATACCCAATGGTAATATATTTTAATAGAAATTCCGACGGATATTTCAATGATATTGTTTCTATTGGAATGATTTCAATGAAAATTCCAATTGAAATACTCCTTGTGAATGAGTTTTCTATTTGAATTTTAAATGCAATTTGATAATTTCAACAACCATTTTTTCAACGGTTTATTAATGTAGCAATTTTCAATGGAATATGCAATTTCCGTTGAAATTTTTATTTTTATCTAGATTTCAACCTTTGGAAAATCTGACATTAGAATCGTCGAAGTCAACTGAAATTTCAATGGAAAGCTCATTCTACTCATTCCATCGATTATCGAGGAGGGAAAGTGGGAACACTATTGGTTCTTCTTGAAAAAAAAAATCCAATCGAAAATTTTTGTTGGAATCCATTTGAATATTCCAACAGAAATAATAGCATTGAAATATCAATTGAAATATATTTCCATTGGATTTTTTTGTTGGAATTTTATTATTTTCTAGTAGTGTATTTATCAGTTATCTGTTAATACAATCTGTTATCCACTATATGTTACATACGGGTTTTGCTATGAAGCCAACAGTTGGCTCCATAGTGGAGCCAACCTTATATATACAAAATAAACCTACCATATTAATAAAATTATATTATTGATATTTAAGTAATCAGAGAATATGGTAGGTTTATTTGTTGTATATAGAAAGTTAGCTCCACTATGGAGTCAACTGTTGGCTTCAAGCAAAACCATGTTACATAGTGCTACATTTGAACGAAGGTTTTTATGAGTTTCCAAAATATTTTTTCTTAAAATATTACTCAAATTTAATGTGCAAGATGATGTATATGACAACTGCATAATTAATGTGAAAAATGTAGGGAACTTAAATTTTCCAACAAAAAATGAGGTGCCCAACCACGGACAAGTGCAACTATAGTGTGGTAGAGGCAAAAATCTATTTTGGTCCGCTAATTTATCCATTGTCCACTTTTGGTACACTATTTTTCCCCTCATAAAAAATGGTCCATTATGTTACATTTTTCATCAATTTTAGTATACTAATCCTGTGGCTCGGGATTACGAGATGCAAATCAGATTTTTATCCTACCACGTTAATATCTTATCCCTCCACGTAGTTCCAATCCCGGTCCACGTCATCTTGTAATCCCGCCAACTGGAGTAGCGTACTAAAACTGATGAAAAATGTAACATAATGGACCATTTTTTATAAAGAGAAAAATAATGTACCAAAAATGAACAATGGACAAATTAGAGGACCAAAATTGAATTTTTGCTGTGGTAAAATATCAGTTTACTATTCATCTTGATCGCGATGAATACTTTCAACATTTTGTTATTATTATTTTTTTTAAGTGCGCTTGGATAATTAGAGATAAAACAAAATTTATCTTTCAGTAGAGAAAGTCTTATATAAATCACACTACATATTCACTTACATCACTATTTCCCTATCCAAATTTATCAATACACCATTTATAATAAAACTTCCATCGTAACATATTTTATTATAATATTCTATCAATTTTTTACTCAATCGCATAGTAATATATAACAAAACTGAAAAAAAATACATCCGAGGTGTCATTAACTAATATTAGACCAATTCAAAGCCGAGTACCATTTTCAAGAGGCATTTTGAAAATACACAAACAACTAAAGGGAACAACCAACTATCAAAACACTCTCATAGAGTGGGGCAATATAAAACTTCAAATATTGAAAAGTTGTACATCTAGCGAGGAGACATGATTCAAGCCCAAATCTGAGTTCTAAGAGTGTGTTTGTTAAAGAATATACTCAAATTAAATTAATTCTACTTAAAATTTAACTCAACTTTAACTCAACTCCACTATCATCAATATTATCAATATAATTAAATATAACAACCAATCATTTTTACACATCATATCAATTTAAATTCACTATTCATCCACTCACAAAATTTTAACTAACCATCACATCATATCATCTCTCTCCTACTTTTACATCAAATCAATTTTAATTATTTTATTTTTAATATTATTTTAATATAGACTCAAAATCCCATTAACAACTAACTACAGTATATTTTTTAAATTAACTCTGGTTAACTTAAAAAATTTATTTTGAGTTAATTCACTCAAATAATTCCTTTAACAAACACACCCTAAAACGTCGAAATCTTTATTTTACATTATTAACAACCACACATTAAATCATTATTTTAAATCTCATCATCTTTAATCAATTCATTGTCATCCTACCATCCATTCCACAAATTATTTATTTAATCCCTAAAACCTTTCCTATTTATTTTTTATTGAAACCAAGTTTTTCCTAACACAAAACTATATTCACTATTGTCCCCTCTCCCACTTTGAGATAGCCTCACAACTAGTCATCTTCTTTACACAACTTTGTATACACACATATATATGCATATAAGAGGTTGTTTTGTACTCCTATTGACTTAAATTTTTCGAGGAGGAAGTAGAGTAGGGCATGCATTGCCATCTCCCAACTAATAGGTGAGGCAAAGAGTAGCAATAAATACCTACACCTGTCTACCATTACCCACACCTACTCTAAACAATAAGAACATACCCTTAGCAAAGCCCCCAACTTAGCCCCATGTAATGTAACATTACATACCCTTCTTCTATATAAACCACCACACAAAAAACCCTAGACTACAAACACTCCACATTCCACTCCTTACATAACAATGGCCTCAATCCACAATAATATCCTCACAACAATCTCCCTAACAATCCTCCTCCTCGTCTCGACGACTCCCGCCGCGCACTGCTCTGGCCGTTTCGAGCAAATCTACGCGTTCGGAGACTCGTACACCGACACTGGCAACACGAGGACCTCGACGGGCCCCACGGCCTTCAACCACGTCTCTGACCCGCCCTACGGCATCACCTTCTTCCATCGGCCCACCAATCGGTACTCGGACGGGCGCATCGTGCTCGACTTCGTGGCGGAGGCGTTGTCGCTGCCGCTCGTGCCGCCGTACCGCGACGCGGCGGCCAACCGGTCGCGCGGGGTCAACTTCGCCGTGGGAGGGGCCACCGCCATACGCCACGGCTTCTTCGTGAAGAACAACGTGACGTTCAATCTAGTGCCACAGTCGCTCCAGACGCAGCTCGTCTGGTTCGACAAGGTTTTGCTGGGGAGCGCGGGATGCGCGGACCGCAGGAGCACGCCCACACAGTGTGAGGGTGCTCTTGGGGATGCCTTGATTTGGGTGGGTGAGGTCGGGGCGAATGATTACACGTGCAGCCTAGGTTCGAGTCTCTCGAGTAAGGTTATACGGAGTCTTGCCATACGGAGTGTTGTCGGGTTCTTACAGGTATATTTATATATGGTCCTTGGTTTATGTGGCAAATAGTACCGTAGACTTATTTTTTACTTGTATAGTTATGTGTCCGAGTATCGTGAATCAATGCTTTCCGGAAATAAGTTCTTGTAGTAGAGTTTGTAGTGTTGGATTAAAGTGGGGAACAACTTTTTACTAATTCAAAATTGCCAAAATTGTGCATAATATCTTTGGAGCGCAAACAAAGTTCAGGGGGTGCTTCACGGTACATAACTAGTTTCTTAGATAAGTGTGTAGTGTATAAAATAATAATGTGGAAAATGTGATTAGATTTAAAATGAAATCAGATGATTGAAAATAATATCATATAAATAATAAAATAATGAATGTAGTTATGAAATATATATAAGTGAATGAAAAATATATCTGTTTTTTTTTAAAAAAAAAAATATATACATTAGGCTTTTGATAATTTAAAATATAGATCTGATTTTTTATGTGGCAGATTATAGATAACAACGAAAAATTTCATTAGTTTAAATATCATCACCTACTCATTATTGTGGAATAATTATCGGCCGTGTACCCTGGATGGAATTAATTAGCAGTGACGTACGTCATAAGAATAATGATTCGTGTCTGCCAACCATATGCATTAAAATCTTATAATCATAATCTATGATACACAGTTTTCCTAAAAATACAAATTATTGTATGAGTGATTAAAATATTTCAATCATATTGATTTTTTTTCCCAAAAGATAGATGAATAACAATCATATTGATATTGTATTCTTTGATACAGTTTTCCTAAATACAATAATACATTATAATACAAATATGAACTATTATTACACACACATATATATATATAATATAAGCCAATTAATTAATTAATTTTGGTGGACATGCAGGCGGTGCTGAACAAGGGGGCAAAATACATAGTCGTCCAGGGGCTGCCCCCAACGGGCTGCGTACCCTACTCCTTCTCCCTCGCCTCCCCCGAAGACCGAGACGAGATGGGCTGCGTGGCCAGCGTCAACCGCATAACCCAGGCCCACAACGCGGCCCTGCAGGCCCAGCTACGCTCCCTCCGGGCCCAACACCCGCAGGCCGTTATCCTCTATGCCGACTACTACAATTCCCACCTCACCCTCCTCAAGAACGCCACGCGCTACGGCTTCCGGCAGCCGTACCGCGTCTGCTGCGGCTACGGCGGCGGAGCCCTCAACTTCGACGTGTTCAACACGTGCGGGTCGAGCTCGTCCACCTCCTGCCCCGACCCTTCCGAGTACATCAACTGGGACGGCGCACACTTCACGGAGGCAGCGTACAAGGTCATCACGACGTCGTTTCTGGGTGGGGAGTTCTGCAGACCCTCGTTTAATTATCTGCTCAGGAAGAAGAAGTCTGTGAATTAATTGCTTGTCAGATTTCCATTTCTCTCTTTTTTTTTTTTCTTTAATTGATCTGTCAGCTTTTATCATTGAAAATATTTTATTTAATGTATTTTGGGTGTTTGATTGTCGCTTTTTGAAAGTTTAGGGTTTCGTGCGCGAGGAATTTATTTATGTTGTGATGATGATTTGACTGTGCGCTGTTGTTTTGTTAATTAAATAAACTATACCTTTCTACTAGTATTCATTTTTCAACTCCACGTTTTGTGTACTTCATCGGAAAATTCCACTCTTCTCTGGAGAAAGAATTATTATCATGTGTATAATTTAATTTAATAAATAATTTAAGAATATAATGATGAAATACGAACTTGTATTAAAAGTTTTTTTTCTCTTGTTTTTTAAAGTATATGGCTAAATGATGTACGTGGTTTAAGTGTTATATATGAATTAAAAATGTGCTGAATTTACGTGGACATTTAAATTTGGAAATTTTATAAACTACTTTATAATTCCTTTTTTAAATAATATATATATATAATTTTCTGAATCCGTTTTGTTTAAGTGTGTACTTCTTCCTATTTGGGGTGGATTTCACCCTCCATAACTTTCATTCATGTTATTCCTTTAGTTCTTGTATGTTGTATATCTATTTTTTATAATTTTACAAATATATATNATGCGCCAAAAATATTATTAAAAATGAAAAATTATAAAATATCAAATTTAAATTTTGTATTAATAAAATCATGAAACTGCCGATAAAATTAAAATGAATGACCTAAATAGAACATTTATATTATATATATATAGGGTGCGAATTAAATGCGGTCAGCTTTTAAAATGCGTCCAGCTCTTAAAATGCGGACAACTCTTAGTAACTACAGACAACTAACTTACCAACTACAGAGAACTAATCTAGCTACTACTAACATAGCAACTATAGAGAACTAACCTAGCAACTACTAACTTAGCAACTATAGAGAACTAACTTAGCAACTACAAAGAACTAGCCTAGCAACTACAATGAACTAACCTAGTTGGAAGGTTAGTTGTCAACGGTCAACGCCGGAGTAAACGGTCAACGATAGAGTCAACGGGTCAAAATAATATTTAAATAATTAAAATAATAAAAAGAAAAGAGTAAATCTTGGCCACACATGATATACCAAATCTTGTGGCAAAAAATGAGTCTCACGTCTTCACTTGAAATAAATGGATGCATTGGAACCAATCCCTATATATATATATACACCATATGGATCCATCACTTTCATAGACCTACTATAACATAAATATAATGGGTCATACATTTTTATTTTAAAATATACAATATTAGTGTGATTGAAGATCTATATTCAAGATAAATCATGTATAAGAAAATGGTATAAAATGAAAAGGCCATTACATGATGCATATATGACAAGATAGGGATAGATGTAAACTTTGTACCCAATAATATGATGCATGGAAATATTTTGTATATTGTGTATTGATAAGTATTTACTATCTATTAGGGTTGGATTGAGAGCTTAACAATTGAAAAAAAAAATATGGAAGAACAAAATATTTATAAAATTGTGAACAAATATGAAATAAAATATAATAATTAATGTTAATATGATAAAAAACAATAAAATAATGAATCTAAATGGTTCATAGCTAAAGAGATATGAGTGTTTGAATAATATTTTTTGTTAAAAAATATAGATTAATAATTAATTTTTATTATTTAATTATATAAATGAAAGTTTGAAAAGAAAGAAATTGAAGTATAAATAGTTGATTTCGAAATAATTGTATTCGTCTATTATTTCGGAAAAAAATAATAATAATAATTGTATTCGACTGTAGTTTCATACGAAGAAATATGCCAAACGAGACGAAACAATAATAAAAGGTATATTCAATCGCCTAGAGGTATTGTTCATCAACAGTGTGTGTATCAATTCACACGTACTTTGGTGTATATGTTTATTTTTTGCATTAGCTCCTATTAAATTTGTAGGGCATTGTTTTAATAATGAAGTCAATAAAGATGTGGGGCAATATATCAATTAATATTTCCACCTATGCCGCAATCATGTCTGCCATAATTTTGACTAAATGGCTCAAATTTTGGTCTCATTATTATCCAGGTTCAAATAATGATAATGTTTGCATATTTTTTGGGCACAAGGCTTACTATATATAATCATGTTACAAATTTCTATAAATAGACAATATATTTTCCCACTTAATTATTTACTATTAAATTTAAAAATTAAGCAACCATTGTTTTTTTTTATTTTTCTTCTAGTAATTTCATTTTTCACCTTTGTCCTCATTTAATTTCCGTATCTCTTTATGCATTTCTTACATTTTCATTTTTGTGATTTAAATTATTACCATTATCCTTTTCATTTTCTTTTTACAACATGATCTATATCTTAACACCTGTGGTTAATTCATGGAAATTAAAATGAATAAACGGAAAAATTAGGTGCATACATGACATAAGCTATTGATAAATTAATAAAATGAAGTCTGAGCAAGAAATCAGTAATAAATGTATAGGGTTGAATAATAATGGTACGGAACCGGTTGGGGGCATTGAAAGCTGTCTTCCTAGTGAGAAGATACATACAAGTGTTTAGTTAATAATAAACTGTTCACTTTATCTCTTATCTTATTTTTTTATTTATCTTATCTTATTTAATACTCCCTCCTTTTTGTAATAGATGTCATTTTGAAAAGTTGCACACTAATTAAGAATATTTTTTTTGCCAATAATAACCCTCATTAATGAGGATAAAGATGGATGTTTTGAAAAAATATAAAGAGTGAATATGAAAAGATATAGTGTATTTATTAGCTAGATAAGGGTAATAATGAAAAAATATGTACAAAAGATCCAAAACGTCATTTATTTAGACAATTGTTGATAAAGCTAAAATGACATTTATAAAAAAAAGGAGGTAGTAGTTTTGTACTGTAAAAATATTTTTTTAATCTCTTTATGTTGCATGTTGTTTCGACACGTGTCTAACCCTTTTATTTATGTTATTCCTTTTAGTTGCAATGGTAATCTACCATGTATTAAGGCAAGGTTTGTCTTTATTTTCTTGACTGTACCCTTTCCTATGCAATTGTCCTTACATTTACTTTTACTTCTTATGTTATTTTGTTGGCTTTTCTGTAATTTCGTATCCCTAATTTTTTTTTGGTCGGATCCTTCACACGTAACTATCAATCACATCACATCTTCCCTGCTCTCTCTCGAAATGTAATCAAAACTCATCTCACACGAATCCGAAATTCCCACCGCGACCGTATTTTTTTTGCTCGGATGCGTGTAAGTATTTTTTTTTTTTTTTTTNATAGAGATGTTTCAATATCTAAATTGCATTTATAGTTTAATTTTCACCACTATATTAGATATATCTAAGGTCTGTCGTATGGAGTTATGCCTGGAGGGAAAAAAATCTCCGATTTTTTCTTTCTCAAATTCTTTGTACACTCTACACATGAGATGAGTTTGAAGCTCACATAGAAATGAAAATACATTCAGAGAGAAGATTTGAAAGAAAATAGACGTTTCTACAAATTGCTGCCAAGGATTGCTATTAATTTTACACATTCAAAAACATAATTTAAGGACAAAATACTTATAGTTCTTGAGGTTTAGTATAATCCAAAACGAAAAAAAAAATGGAAAAAGAGAAAGCATTCTTCAAAATCACAAATACCATATGGATCATGTTTCTGTTGTACGAAATGCAACCTCAATGGGAGGACTTTTGTTAACAAATATAATCTCAAAAGAAGTTTGTTATACTTCTCCGATATTTTTTTTACTTCCGAAGAATAATTGGAATGTATATTGTTCAGACAAATTCCAAGTAGTTTATTTAATGAGCCCTTAATGTTTACTCTACATTATTGTTTAATGTTCAATCACGCTTTTGATTGTAACATGAGAGTTGATTTAAACATTTAATCTCTGACAATTTTTCTTCTTCTTATTGGTTCTTCTATTAGTAGTGGGTAAAGATAATTTTTGCTTTGACCATTTTGATATGATTTTTAAGTCACATCTATTGTTGCAGCTATTCATGATCTATTATTTTGTATGATTCCTTAGTTGTTTGTTTAGTGTTTATTATTATCTATCTACTTTTTTGATTCCTTATTGTTTTAATGATGATTACAACTAATTATTGGTTTAATGAATATTGTCCCATCTTATATTTTATGGAATGTTAACATTTTGTTATTTGAAACACTTGCTGAAATCTACAAAAATAGGTAATTTAACTTTTCTATTCGTTGATCATAATAGGTATTTAACTTTTCTACTCGTCAATAATTCAATTCTTAATGCAATTTTCAAAAATTTCTATTTGTCCTCATCTGGTATTGTGTAACCTCAAGCTCTGTTTTTTGGTTTGAGGTATGTCACCTCAACCTCCTCTTTACATTTTATTTAGGATTTTCTGGGGTTCGATGTTATTTTTTCATGTGTCTAAGATTATAGATATATCCTTGATAAAAAAAAAGCATGTATGCATATTAAGAAAAAATAAAGTTTGATGCTTTTCTTTTTCTTTGTTTATTATTGATATTTGAAGTTGATACATAGGCTAACCATGAATATTCCTTTTCAAATTTTGCATGTAAAGAAACAAAATCTTCAAATTTGAAATTATTCAAATCAGCTTCGTTTCACGATGTATTGATCAGATCATTCAAGCAGCTCATGCAACGTGCACCAGAAGGTGAAGGAAAGAATCAGACAACAGACTGAAAGCAGGTGATGAATTTCCCATTGACGAATTTAAATCCTATATGGACCGTTTCAAGAGTCGTTTCAGATGGCAATAAAAGTAGCTCCTTGGTCGGAGGAGTTTACGGAATGTGCGTAAGATCTTGATGCTGATTTAAGTGCTGGTGCTGGAAATAACAAATCTTTCTTTTCCACTACATGGCACAAGAACTTGAGTACAAACAGTTAGATAGTGTCACAAAAGTGACAACATAGTCTAAGTATTCTATGATGTATCTAAGGTCTGATGCATCTAGAGGGAGGATTTAACGGTGGGTACCATTATAACGGGCGTGACATTATGAAAAAAGGTCTGTTAGCATCTCTTTCGCCATTCTTTTTTTATACAAATACTTTCGTCGAGGTTTAGTTTAGCTTTAGCCTACTCAAAGAAATTAATACACGGTTATCTTTGAAATTTCAAATACACCTTTGACAAGTTGACGTGTTTTATGATGACAATCACACCTTATAAAGTGCATTCCATATTTGTAATTTCGAAAATCAGCTACATATTTTTCTTAATTAAGCTAAATCTCATATAGTTTGTGTAAATTATCAACAACTGCCAAAACAATATAGTCGTAAAAATGGGATTTTTTATTTGATTTATCTGAGTCAATCTATGCAGATTATGTCTGGACATCCAACAAGGCGGAGAGCACAACAGTCAATTCTACCTCCTCAACATTGGGAGCTGCTCGATAGGGAACCGAAGTCATAACCGATGTCACCCGATATAGCGAGATGAGGAAAAAGGAAGAAGGGTGGGTTGGTGACCCGAGAACTTGGGAACTCGATTTAACTGGGCCCTTTCGAGTCAGTTATATTTCTATCAGCTAGAAATCTTTGATTGAGAAAAGGAAGATTTTGCTAGCAAAATGAGAGAAATTTTTTTCGATCCAAAACGATTAATAATGTGAAAAATGAAATGTATGAGGTAATGTAATCGTTTTCGAAATTCTTATGCAGGATCCAGGAACAAAACCAGCAACATGAGTATGGTAATCACTTAATATTCGTACTAAAATATATGTGAGCCCAGCTGGGGCTATGGCTGAATGGACTGTTAGCGACTTTGATGTTTCAGTTCATAAAGATGCCGAAAACGGGCGTCTGAGGTATATGTAGTGTGTATTTACATATACAATCTTCATGGGAAGGAAATATAAATGAATGTACGATGCATCGAATATGTAATGTGTTTCCTCATTTTCCCAATGAGGTCCTTTTACATATTTGTGCTAATTTTTTAGTACTCAAATGCTTTGTTTGTGTTTGGTGCACCAGAATATTTATCAAGGTGTGCTTAAAAATGCTTGGAATTTAATGTGTATGGGTAATATTTGATGTTTTGTGTTTAGCCTCAAGAACCTTTTACTTTTAATGTATATAGGTAGCGTTTATTGTTGGTATATGTGTCCTAGAGACAATATTTTTAAGGACATATATACACGATCACATTAATAATTATATTGAATTATAATTATGGTATTGCAATTAATTAAATAATTATTTAATTATTTGTAATTTGTTAATTAATTGCTCCCTTGAGTTGATACTGTCATTAACAGAGTGAGATGTTAATTGTTAAAGTATAACTCTCAAATCGCCTCAATCAATGATCATTAAAAAATGGATATTAATGATACGCGATAGGTTGACATGTGGTATGCATCATATTTTTGGAGAATACGTTTTTCAATGACAATTTACAAAGAAAACGTATTCTCAAAATACTGGTTTTTTATTTTGGTCCAGATTTTTTTTTCTTTTATTTGTGTCCACTCGTTTTATTTTTTTTGTTTTTTTATAAATAAATTTCCCTACATCTTCGCCGTCCTACGTCTACATGGTCACTTTCACCTTTCTATTTCAAGCCTCAACCATGTCGATAGTTATTTATTGTCTTATAACATCCTTTCAGCTTGTTCTCAGCCTTAAAGCTCTTTTCCAGCAAGCACATTTGTTATATTAATGTCCAAACCACGCACCACCTATCGAACAACAACCTCTAAGATGTAACTAACCATGAAAGACACAGTTCTATTTCCAAATCACAAGGACCCAATACACAGATTTCAAGGGATGCTTGTGATTGTATCTTGAGGTATATTTGTAATTAATTATTTGTATAATGTATCAATAGTTAAAGGCGCACTAATAGAAAGTAGTATCTATTCATTATGATCCAACTAATTACGCTTGTTACACTAATTAAAAAAGGAGTATATATTCATTATGATTCAACTAATTACGTCACGTTATTCTCGATTACTAGAGTAATTTTACGGTTGGTACACATTGATCAAGCAAACACCCTAATCTAATTGACTAATGATTATAGAATATGAGGTTCATTCCCCTGAACGTGAACGAATCAAATTCCAATGCTTGACCTGGATTAGAACATACGTACTCGCTGTTCAACAAAAGCTTTATTCCATATTCAACGATTGTTTTCCGGAGAATAACATAGTGAGTCTTATGTAGTTATTTTCAACTGCAAATTAAAAGAAGATGAACAATGAAAATAAAAACCTAGACGACGTTTCTTTTTCGACAACTACTCGTTGAAATACGCCTCCCTCATTAGTCGTGCAGAAGAAAGGTCACCTCCTTTCCTCCATGCCTAAAACCGAGGTTAAGATATAAATATATGACTTATATACACATAAAAATTACGAATCACGCATACTGTAAAAAACAGGGAAAATAACATGCATGGCAAAATGGGAAATGAAATTGAAAAATGATTGTTTATGGGTACCTCGTAAACGTGAGTCGCCGCCTTTAATATTAGATTGAATGTACCAAATACTCTGATCTTTTATTTTAAATGTTAGGATTTAATTTTTTGTAAAAATTTTCAAAATACATAAAAGTGGGATATTCCGAAAATTTTTTAAAAAATTAATTATTATAATAATTCTAAAATTTTAGGTGGAAATTGTAGGAATTTTTTATACTAATTTAGGCTTTTTGAGTTGTTCGGTATATATTAATAAATTAATGAAATCGTATTCAACCGTTACCAACTAAATTTGATGTGGAAAATCTACGTGCAAGTACCCTTAGATGTAAACTAATTTGATTGGTTTTAGCCCAATGTTTTAATTTGTCAAAAGATCANTTGTAGAATCCTTTTCTATAAAACAAACCATCGAATGCTAAACGACACCACCCACCAAAGAAGGGTTTATTACCAGTTCGTTTCAACTTCTTAAAATTCAATTCAACCATCTTCACCGCAGTCGTTTGTTCATCTCCCTTGACAGGTCACTTTTCAAAGGTTAGCTTTTTCTAGTTTTTTGCCTCTATGTGCTTACCTTTCCCTTTCATCTTTATTCATGAAGCATTAGTCATTTTTTAATGGCCACGCTTTGTGTATGTATGTTTTCACAGACATTGAGTTCAATCTGTAAATGTATGTTTTAAGCTGCTTGTTTAAGTCGTGATATGAATGCAGTTCAAAAATCCTTCATTGATCATGCCGTGATGCTCCATTGATTAACTGGAGTTTCGCCCGATTATTTTGGGCGAATTTCATAAGTGCGCCTGGATCATCAGACCTGCACTGGTTTGTGTGTGTGTGATCGAACGGTTAAAACCTGGTCCCGTTATTTTGTCTATTTTTCCTTTTGGTACTTTTTACGGGGTTTATGTACCTTAATGAAATAAAATAAAAGATTAGTTAAACAAAAATATATAATTAAAGCATTGGAGAAGGTGTAGAAAGATTTTCTTAGTTGATGTTTAAGAATGAGTTTTAAAATAGTATCCAATTAGGTGTCACATGTTACTTGAGATGGGCCGGGCCGGGCCGTTAGATGACCGTAAACTCCAATCACAAATTTAATTATGGTTTAGGATCTGATGATGTAAATGATGAATTAAAATATTGATCTTCCAGTCACATTCTTGTTTCATGATCTTGCCTGTTGAGTTAGTGTTTTTTGAATTTTGCTCTCAATACAGTAACTCTTGTGCTACCGTTCGTAGGCACATAGATTGTAAGATCATAAGAAGGCTTCTTTGTAGGTGACAAATTGAACCACATTGACGGCAAGGATGGCTCGTCGGGGCATAGCAGATGATGAGAGTGCAAAAAAATCAGACAAGATGCCTAAGAAGGGTCGATTTATTAAAATCATGTTTGGCTTTGATTTCTCAAACTATTTGGTACTGTCTCATTTTGTTTCAATTCCTTTTCTTTTGTCCATTGTCTTCTCTTATATTGGATTCTTTGGTTTGTTGTTGTAGCTTGCAATGTGAGTTGGTGCTAATTATCTCGTTCTTCTCTCTGTACTGACAGTGTTAATACATATTAGCTTACACTTATATGTGACTTGGACGTGCGTAATCTGACAAAATCTAGTAGAGTTAAATTCCACTATAAATGACAATCTCGTGTTAATACGATTACGGGCCTGGTAAGCTATTAACATTTAGCTTTGTAAGTTGTAATAAACTATGTACTTTCTTCAATTTTACTATTTTGTTACTACTTTTGCATGGCAAGTACCCCATGATGTCCAAATTTTTTCCAGTTAAATAGTTTTTTCACTTAAGGTAGGGCATTTGCATTTTGTTCTATTATTAGCTTTCTCTGCATAGATTAGAAGGTCTTGCCACTGGAAGGCTTCATGTGACCTTACTTGTCTTCAATAAATATTTGTTTGTGTACAACTTTCAATTTTGTTTGAGGATCCATTTTGAGTCAAAGCTCCTTTTACCTATGAAAACTCAATACTTAATGACAACTAAATAAATGCGACAGCCACTTTGTTGGAAAAATATGTCACCTGCTGGTGTATATAATTACTAAAAATAGAATCTGTTGATTACTTAATCAATTTTAATATTTTAATCTTCAAACTAAATTGTTATGCATTTCAATTGAGCCCAAGGTGTATATGAGTTACTTGCATATCTAATAAAATCCCATTGCACGTTTTCCGTGTGATCTTTCACCCTTATTTCCCATACTAGTAAAAGTTTAAACTATTCAATTGTTAAGAGTTTAAATGTCATGACTTTTCTGGAGGTCAGCTTTGTTGTAACTTGACAAGCATCACAATTATGTAGGTGAATTCACCGGATACACATGTAACAGTGTTTCTATTACGATGGACATGGTTGATTATTGCTTTAAGAATTATGTGGAAATAATTATATCCAAAGTTATTATCCTTTTGTTCTGTTTTTGTTTTCTTTCTCTCTCTATTTCTTTAATATTTCGATTATTTGTAGCCCCTGCCTCCCAAATTCGTTCACTCAGTGGAACACTTGGCGGATCAAGAAATTCAAATTGAGGACTGGAACGGGCTCCAGTGGTCTGTTAAACTCGAACAAGTGGATGGCTCACTTGCATTGAACGAGGGTTGGAACAAATTCTTTTTGGATCACAGCCTGAAAGAAGGATACATATTGGTGTTTGAGTATGCAGTTGACGGTCATTTCACGGTGTATATATTCGGGCAGACTGCTGTTGAGATTACTGACTTCGACAATGTGGGCCCCAAGAACAGAAAGCGGGTCAAAACGAACCTGGATCCGGTTTCCCCGGACAATCCATTGTTAAAAAACAATGTGCAGCCGAGGGAAAAGTCGGGACCGAATGACTCTGTACTCCACAGATCAAAAACCGGAAATTGCAAAACTCGCCCTAAGGAGACAGATGGCAACGTGATGAGGCCAAGTTGCGAGTTACCTACTGCAGGCGCGGAGGATAAGATTGGCATGGTCAATAAAGATACCGAAAGCTATGGACGAAAAGAGAGGGACTTTTTGAACGACACATGTTTTGAGACGGGGAAGAAAACTCCCGCCGAATGTGTCACTAGAATTACTGACAAGATTAACACAAATGCGGATGGTAACAACACTCAAGTAAATGCGAGTCGTACGGATGGGGTAAATGGATGTTCTAATGATGCTGACAGGTTCGTTAAAAAGGATTTGGATATTAGTGCAGGCCCTTCTCATACTGGGAAGAAGAAAGTGGATGTTAACAGGAATGTCAGTGAGAAATTTACCGGCACAGTTGAGAAGGCTCCGGAAAGAAAGAGATCCCCTTCTCGTGGTGTAAAAACAGATGTTGCTAAAATGAAGAGGAATGGTACTCAAATGGATGGAGATCATGTGGAAAAGATCAACAGTGGTTCTAGTGATATTTTAGCTGATAAGAACCGTGTTACTCTTTCCGATAAAGGTAACCTCAGCGGGAAAGTGCGGGAAGACACTTCAAATCCTCCGAATGGTGAGTTGAAGTTGTTCATTTCTGTTTTTTCTGAAAATATTCTTACAGATTGTATGAAGTTTATGTACCTTGCTCTATTGTATTCATTTTTAACAAGTGACAGTCTTCTTCTATAGACCGTTCTGAGAGGGGAATTGCTGGAAAACGCAAATGTCCTGAATCTACGCTTCCGAGTGAAGAGGGTATGTTTTATTTTATTTTTCCTATGAACCTGCAGTTCATCTCATTGTATCTGTGGCATAACTTGTATTGGTTGGTTTAAAATTTGGAAACAGGTAAACGGCGTTTAAAACAGGAGCAGGTTGGACCTAAAGGTAAGGCTTTCCTGGATTATCATGTGGTGGCAAATGCTTGTTTTAGTTCTACTAATTTGTTTGAACTAGATTGAGAATTATATTTTTCTTGATAATTGCATATGGAGTCTTGTGTGTAAGCTCTGTAGGAAGCACGAGCAGATTTAAATAAGGGGCCGTCCCTGTGCAATTTTTTATAATGTTTTGTATATATATCCACATGATTACACTTTTGGATATTTATTTTATGTACCATAATATTACTATAGTAAGAATATAATTTAAAAGTTAAATATCATAAATTTAAATATATGATGGTTGAAGATCACTCATTCCGACTAAATATGTTAACGTGTTTATATTTAGCACAAATTTTTATGTGAGGCAGTCTAACCGTTACGTGGATTGATTTGCCACACTTTTCAAACAAATATGACATTTTCTAATAAAAATATGTATATTTGTTAAAAAGTATGTCGACATATAGTAGGGTCTAACACAAGACCAACCATGTATTTAAATATTTAAAGTTTTCGTAACTCCACCTTCTATCCCATTCTTAAAAAAGAAATTAAGTTAAAAGATAAAAACTTATCATTATTTATTTAAATAAAAAAATTAAATTGTGCCCCTCGTGTTTGTGAGGCCTGCGTCCGCCCCTGGTAGGAAGTCCACGTTAGCAGGTCTATGCATAGATTATTAGTTGTCTTTTTAAATTGAAAATTGCAGGAAAAGCGCCAATTACAAGGCAAAATGATCAAATGCTTTTTCCTCCGGTAAAAGCTGAACCAGATCTGGCGGATGAGGCAGTGCCATCGAGTGGTATAAGTCCGTTTACCGCAAAAGTCGAGAACAAATCATATCTGGTATGCTATTTGTTGACAGCGTTATTTTCTTATTTTCTTTTACCTGCATTTCATTATTGGGGTTCAGTGCATATACAACATTGTCATCTGTTTGCTCTATTTTTTTTATTTTTTTTATTTAATGCCGTCATGCATTCTGTTGTGTTAATCAGTTGGTATAAAAATTGAATGGTATTCTGTAATGTATGTTGCTCACCTTGTCAATCTAACCATGTCTCAATGTTACCACTCCTAAAGGAGAGTTGATTTGGCTAAAACATTTCACTGAAAACCTGTTTTATTCTTGGCTCATTGTTTCGTTGAAAGGGCTACGTTTTAATTCTCCATGTAAGTCCTAATCCAAAGATAATCAAAAGCATAGATTATTGACACATAGGATTTTGAAGCCATTTTAGGTTCATGATACTCTGAATTTATATATAGAGGTGATTTCTCAGTTCCCAAGACAAGTGCATTATTTTATTTACCTTGAAAATTTAAATGGAGGCACTAGTGTTTATGCAACTCTTCAATTTCTATGCCGTGGTATTTAAATAAATGCCTAGTGACATGGAATAAAAAATAAAATATTCATGGTATCATATAATTAGATTGAAAGTGAGGGTTGGATGCATTGCTGTCATTAAATTTTCTATAAAACTATATATGGCTCCGTTATAGAATTCTACTGCTGATATTATATATAACTTACCAAATTTAACCATCCAATGCATTGGGGATTATTGCCAAATTAGCAATAAGGCTCCATAGACGGAGCCCTCTCTGATTTGATAGAAATGCAGGTGTAAATGTGTATTACTAGGAAACACTGTAAAACGTGTAATTTTGTATTTCATTGTTATACATTTAAAAGCATATGTAAAGTCGAATGTTTTCTATATATTGCATCACAAATAATGTGTTTATAATAATTAAACAGTTTTCATATGCAGATAGGTGAAAACGAACGTACCCCCAAACCCCACACCCATGCACATGCACATGCTAAGTTTTTTCTCATTTGAACATAATCTTGAGGATTTGTACCCGACACATTGATGAAATCCCTATTAGTTATTTTTCCATCTTACCCTCATATTTATCTGATTTCTAAACGATGCTTGTGTTAGGAGTTGCCTGTAAAAATTCCATCAGTAAAGAGAGATAGTGGCCGAGGAAAGGTTGTGTACATCAGAGACTCGTTTGGAAAGATCTGGCCAATGATTAACCCTAATAAACTATTTATGGAAGCATTGGTTGGCAACTGGGCCAGATTTTGTGAAACAAACGGCATAAAGCCAGGGGATGAGTGCAGGTTCCAACTTGAAAACGAGAAGTTGTGCTGTTATAGAGTTGATGTTATTCACAAGTGATGAATGCAAGTTATGCAGGTTTGCAAAGATGAATCCAGGCTTTAGAGTTTTTGTTGTTTATCGTTATCAAAGGTTGGTAACATATTTGCTGTAATCGGGAGATCTCTTGTGCTGAGGTCCAAGGGGAAGAGCCTCTTTTGTGTAAGTTGGTGTGATCGTGCTTGAAATGACGAATCTCGTCCATCTCTCTCCTTCTCTCTTTGATGATTTTTGTTGGTGTTGCTTCATTTGTTTTGGTAGTATTTTGTATGAAAATACTAACAGCTGATTAACATTTTCCTTGTTTTGTTTCTGTTTCACTCTGTTCATTCAAAATCATTCATATGCAATTGGAAACTAATGAAAACTAGTGGAATGGAGGATTTGATAATTGACTATATTGATGGTTCCAAGTATATTCCACTTAATAATAATAATAATCAGTTG